ACAGAAAATACTCAGAATCTTCACAATCTGCAATATCCTCTTTTAAAAGGCTTTTGCAGATGTCACAATTAAACTTTTGTTGTGTTTTATGTAAAACAAATCCTGCATCCTTATGTAAAACAAACTTGCACTAATATTGCTTATACTCAACTCGTGGTGAAACAAATGTTCTTTGTCCTCAACATGAACACTTTGCAGTTCCTCATTGGCCTGATCTATGACATTTACAAGCATATAATCTTCATCTGGTTGACAGTTACCTGATGAAGTTTTTGCTGTGATGATTTTCATAGACAACGTTACTATTTGTAACGCCTCTACTTCTTACTAGATAACAAGTAAGAGGTTCTAGTCGGGAGCTTCCGACTAGGGGATATCCTGAACCCACTTCTTCCAACATCAAATGAATATATATATTCTATTTTAAAAGCTATATGTCAAATTTGGTGACTCTAGCTCTTATTATTTACCAAAATTGCACAAAAAACAGGATATCGATATCGATTTGTATCGATTGCTTGGAAACGGAGCAAGTTATCGATTATCGGAAACAAACTCGATCTGCGCAGGAGCTAGGAGCATCTACATCTAAAATTTCAAGTCTCTTGCTCTTATAGGTTATGAGATCCTTGCGTTCATACATACGGACGGACGGACGGACGGACGGACGGACATGGCTAGATCGACTCGGCTATTGATGCTGATCATGAATGCCAATAATGAATTTTCTTTTGCGCCCATCTGATCTGCCCATTCACACATATTTGTATGTGTGTGTGTGTGTTTTTAGCGCCCGAAATACTGAAATCACAAGAACCTTCAAATCTTGTCAATTTGCGAGGGACAGGCAAAGACAAATTCCTCTATTTATATACAAAATATGCAAGTATGCATGAATAGAGATTCCAAAATATTTAAAATGCACACATGGCAACGCTTAGGTACTCTTTCCAATGATAACGAGCTAAAATGCAAGAATTTCGCAAAGACATGGCAAACCCTTTCATTATTTCATATTACTCGTCCCTTCAAAAGGAAAGAAAGCCACCGACTTTTGAGAAAAATTGAATTTGTGGGCATTTTTGCTTGTGCGGACAAATACACACACAGACAGTACAGCGGTAAATACACAAATTGAAAGAGCACTGAGAGTAAGCCAAAGCAGTTTCCTGCAGTGCGAGGGACTAAAAAAAAGCAGCGATGCCGTTTTATGAACCTGAATAAAAACGAAGGCGACTTTGGATCAGCCGCACATAAAACGAGAGGCCCCATCACAGTACTCTTATTGTCCAGTCTATATGTTGTTTGGTTAGAGCTTTAATGCGGATACTCCAGTGGACGTAACAAAATAACTTAAAACAAACTTCCAATTGGCATAAAGGCCTCTTACCATAAAACTGAAATTTGCTTGCACAGCGCATGTGTTTTTTCTACACCATCGTCCGTAAATCCTTCAATTTCATCCCGACGTGAATTATATTTCAGACCTCTCTCAATGGACATTTAATCATATAACACAACTTGCTTACTTTTTTTATTCAGCATGTTCATGTTCAGCAATGTGTTTGATAAACACTGATGTAGGCCTGGAACCAAATATTATACCCGGGGCCCACCTAGCCAAGGACGATTTAGAAGGAAGATTTAGATGCAGATCATTTCGCATAAAATCATATGCTTTTGCAGAATAAAAGTGTGTGCTTTGCGCTACATCTTTCTCTTCCTCTTTTCAAGAATTTCTATTTTTAAGCAACATTTTACAGACTGTATTGGAATTCTTAGATAAGAATGGTTTTCTATCAAGTATTGCAAATATATTTATATTTTCCCTGCTTTTTATGAAATATCTTGTTTTCTTCATTCTTTCCCTTCTCAATGAAATTTGCATCCGATGCAACTTTTTCTTATAAAGCTGGACTTGCTTATATTCCTTTGTACATTTTTGGGAAAGTTCCCAATTTCCACATTGTTGCTTAAATGACATTTTGTCTTTTCTGGGTTATTATACTGTGATTTTTTAGCGTGCTCACAATCAATGCTTGTAGTTTCTACTCTGATATTGTTGTTTTCAAATGCCGAAAATGTTTCGATATTATCGCGTTCATAACAAAATGTGAACACGTCAATACTGTCCCCAGCCCTAATCTTGTCTTGCCTAAATACTTTTGTTCAAAATGTTTATCGCAGACTAACGCTTTGCCAATATCGTTATTGCCAGGTATTTCACATTTTGTGACCGATTGACGGTGAATTATTTGCAGGAAACTTAAACATTTTCACATCGTCGTCGTCTCTATAGCTTCGCAAGCACGACTTAATAATACGCTTCAAACCACTTCTTCTTTTATCTTCCGTTGTTTTGTTATTTTATATTTGTTAATCGCGTGAAAAGTTGAAGAAACTAAGTAATTCGCTTAACAAGACCGCTCGATTACGTTGTTTGCTGCTTTTTACAACTTATTCTTGGAATTCTGCCAGCTAATGTATTTTTTATGACATTCAACGACTAAAATGTCCGGAACTGCCAGAAAATTCTCAAAAACGCATTAATTGACATTGTAAAAAATGTGGGTTAAAGGGTCTTATGAGGGGCAGTCTCTTTTATGACATTTAACGCATAAAATGCCCAGAACTGCCAATAAATTCTGAAGAATGCAACTGATCTGTTTATGCATTTATTGACATTGTAAAGAATTTTGGTTAAAGTGTTTTATGGCAGGTCATAATGGCCGAAATGTCTAGCTTGCGTCTGCATCCATAACAAAATGCAAACAAGCGACAAGTGCGGCTTACCTATTTTTATTGACTCTTCAATGCGGCTGCAAGCCCACCGCAGGCATGCCCAAAAACAAAAACAAAGAACTTCCCGTCGCCCAAATTTACGCTCCCATTGAGGAAAATATCTGTCTTACGACAAACCCTTGATCAGCTCATTCGCACACATTTGTGCGTGTGTGTGTGTTTATCTGTGTGTATCGAGCTCGCAATTAAAAAATTTTTCAAATTTGCATCGTGCGCGCAGGCAACCAACACGCACACAAACGCATTAATGCTTCTATCCATATAGAAAACACATGCCAGCGATCAGATACCCTTACCCTTACATCAAGCATGGAACCAAGTCGAAAAAATTGAACATTGTCAATTTTTGGTCTTTTCCGAAAATTCTTCAACAACGATGAATTACCCCGGCAGAAATACGACTTAGATATTTTTATTTTTTTAAGTAAAATAGGTCCCCACAGCAAATAAAAAATAAATATAAATCGTTTATTTAGGTATTAAATAAAATGAGATTAAATTCTTCTCATTATGCCTGAATGGACAAAGAAATAAATGATAGAGCATTTAAATGTGAGTGCCTATTGCTACCACATGCACGAAAGGCACACAATTGAAGAAATAACCTCTGGCCCGCAACAAACGCTGCGATCTACTTGTGCGCACATCCACACAACACAAACATATGAATGTTTGTAGATCTGGGGGTTTTGTGGGGAGCTATGGAGGCAGAAAGAGATGCACACAAGTGCGCAATGAGCAATAAGTGAGAGCGAGGCACACTCTGCACATGCATAAACACATATTTATGTATGTATTTAGGCTGTAGGATTTAAAAATGGCATACATATATGAAGAAAACGCATCAGCCGCAGCGACGTTGTACGCTGAGCGAGATGCGGCTACATACTGAACGTGCGGCTTTCGAGGCCGGCGTTCGGCTGCCACTCTTACTCTGTCTGGGCACACTAAAATGGTCGCAGGCACCCTCGGGGCTCCCTCGTTGCGATTTATCGTTATCCGATAAAAAGCCAATTTGGTATGTCTATGCATTGTATGGTTAGTGGTCATAGGCAATTAAAAGGTTTTATTGCCCAGCGGCGCACATCTTTGGCGTTATCCAGACGGATTGACCAGGAGGCAAACGGCAAAGGGTGAGACCACAGCCCCATCAACCGAGTGAGTCCGTTCCATAACGCCCACCCTCGCCCCGATCAGCAGGCAGAGTCAGAAGCAAACTCATATTTAGTCCCCCTAAAAAAATTTTAAATAATATAAGATTTCGTTTATTTTGGGTTAATCTTATATGTATGTCACATTTTTTAAACATGTGTGAAATGTATTAGCTTATGGGAAAAAATGCGGCCTATTTTAGATATCAAAAATGTGACATTTTCAAAAATTTAAAAATTTAAATTTAACTTGAATATTTTAAATGTGGTTATATAATAAAATTCATAAATATTAATATATATATATAAATAATATATATATATATATATACGTGGATATGTTAATTAAACCTATGTTTTACATTATTAATAGAATCTATTTAATATATTTTTGTTCTTTAAAATAACTTGAAGTCTAATTTGAAAATATGTATTAATTGAATAGCGTTTATAATTCGGCTATAAATAAATCAGGTTATTTGCTTCAAATTTAAAAAAAAATTAAATTATAGTAATTTAATTAATAATTTCCCCGCTTGGAAAATTACTAAAAAATTAGTTTAAAGTCAATCGGACGGTAAAGAAGTAAATATCACACATCCGTAAATTTATGTATTTATACCCTGAACCCATTAAAAATGGGTATAAGGGTATATTGTATTTGTCCAAAATCCAAATGTATATAACAGGCAGAAGTAAGCATCTCCAACCCCATAAAGTGTATAAATTCTTGATCAGAACCAATAACCTATAAGAGCTAGAGACCTGACATTTTAGATGTAGGTCCTCTTAGTGCCTGCGCAGATCGAGTTTGTTTCCGATAATCGATAACTTACTTCGTTTCCAAGCAATCGATAAGAACCGATATCGATATGCTGTTTTTTGGGCAGTTTTTGCATTTGATGTTGGAAGAAGAGGGTTCAGGGTATCCCCTAGTTGGGAGCTCCCGACTAGTACCTCTTACTTGTTTTTTATTAATTGGAATTAATTTTCAATGCTCCTTTTGAAAAATAAGCAGACATATCATTTAATTGGGGTTTTGCGTTTACATGTCTAAGTCAACCAACTTTATGGGAATTTTTGTGCAGCTTTTTCCCTTGTTTATCATACAACATTTGTTGTATGTATCATATTGTGGAATTTCAAATGGTCCGAATAGGGCAACACATTAAGGCACACATCAGCAGAGTTCCTTGGTATGTATGCTGTGAATAACAATAATTTGTTTGTATAAGAATATATGCGGCGCACTTAACATGGAGTGTAATCTTCAGTTACCAATAATGTCAAGGAATGCAGCAGTGAGTCACAAACGCAAAGTCCTGTTGTCTAAGGGCTCATATATTAATACCGAATTAAAAGAGCCATTAATAGAGAGATTTACATCAGTCAATATAATCAAGATATTTATATTTACTTAAATATTTGTTTAAGAAATCAAGCAAAATAGCATTATTTATACATAGATTTTGAATCAATCCAAAAAACGTATGCATAACTTACTTGAACTTGTTTGGCTTGAGGCCAATGTGGAATTCCTTTTGCAGGGTCAGACGCGTCTGTCTAAATGTTACCGCAAAAACATATCTCAAACATATCTCATCAATATGCTTGCCGGCGTCTAGGGTCGCTGTTACACATTGCGTGACTGTCGTACACAATCTAGCAGAGCTTGTGATATCCTGCGTGACATCTGTAAAAAATCAAATTGCAAGTAAGAAAACTATCGGTTTTCGTAGATGAGCTGATTGATGATCATCATGTAATTATGTCACAATTTTGAAAAATGTTTAAAATGCGGCCTGTTCGTTTTCCCATAAGAAAACAGTTCGTTTTTTTTGCGATGATCCATCGAATTTTCTATCGATGTTATGAAGAATGTGAAAGTATCATTACGTTGCTGATATAGCAACGAAGGTAAGCACTTACTTTAAATAATAATTTCAAAATTGTACTAATGCCACAGTTTTTAACATTAAAAGATGTCCAAATCTCGAAAAGAGTATATGAAATGGAGGTCGTATCATTTGACTTCTGGAAGGAAAACTTTGCGGCGCTTAGGTAAATCAAAGCAAGCCAAACAACTGTTTATTTAAAGAAGCGGTACTTTTGCCACTCACATGTTACCGACAGCCGGTGGAACACCAATATGTGAAATTTGAAAATGTGACATTTCTTAAACATAGTGGAATAAGGATATTAGGTATACATTTACCCTGGTTATCACACGTACAGACACTTGCAAATTTGTTTGGTTTGTATGCATTTAATCATTTTTTCTTATTCATATGTGTGAGAGTGAGCTCCCTAACATTCTTAAATCTTGCCTCGCGTTTACTCCCACACTCACAAAACTTTTATTTATAGACAATATATAATATAATATATATATAATTTCAATTTTGTTAAAGAATAACTCCACTCTTCATAACTTCATGCAAGCGGACATTTCTTTCAACTTAAACAGGTGCGTATAATCATTGGCATATTCCTATAATTATTGACAATTGTCATTAATTTCTAAAATTGCATCTTTTTACAGAATACATAAGGGGAAAAGAGGAAATTATGAGGCAATCGTTGCACCAATTTAGGAACAAGTACCTACACAAATTCCGTGCAGCTTAAACCAACTTTCCCTTACCTAAAGAGCTCTCTGGGGGTGGTAAGGGGCGACAGAAAGCGTGTTTCAAGGTATGTATGCATGTGTGTATTGTTCGTGCAAGTACCAAATTTTAAACTTTTATATTGAACTAGCGGGTAATGATTTTAAAACTGATCGGACGGTAAATAAACAAAATGCGGGTAGAATTTCCCAAAACGCTGAAACACGTATTCATTAAGTTCTTATGTACAGCTCTGAAAATAAGTTTAAAGCAAATCGGACACCACTTAAAACTTCGCCCAAAAACTCGTTCAATCGCATTTCTATTGAAGGAGTTTAGACTTTGCGAAAAATGTGAAACACGTCTCAAGTGATTTTCCATATAGATCCTTGAAAATGAATTTGAGGGTCATCCACCAAATCTTTAACCCCCATTTTCACCAAGGAGGAACACATTTTTGGAAAAGTGTGAAACACCCCTCAAATGAAGAACAGAACAGTTTCATACAAACGTCTTTCGCGTTTTTTCCATACTTGCGGGTGAAATTTCCCGAAACCCCGTCTTAATGGACCTTCGTCACATAAGGTAACTACAGGGCGTTGATCACCAATCAGTCAGTCAATAAGTCAGTAAGTCAGGACAAACAGTTTATATATAGAGGTGCAATAATATTTGTCTTAAGTGAAGCTTGGCGTAAGTACATATTTTTTTATAATTACCGAAAACAAAAAAAATTAAATTTTTCAACTGCGGCGCTGTGCGTTCTTCAAATTGCTGAGGTTATTCTCATAGTTTTCTATTCGTCATTTTAACTTTACATGACGTGTTTTTTCACAGATGTGAGTGTGTGTGGTTGAGAGTCTTAGGTGCCATTTGTGTACTGTAATTCACGAAAAATGTTTGCACTTAATTAATTTTGCTTTGTTATTAAGTTTAATCTTTAATTTTACTAGAGTAAGACCGATGTGGCCGGCTTGAAAAAAGGAAGACTTCAATTTTCATGGCATGCCGCCGTTCACAAAATCGAACTCCTTGCTGTACATTTTGAACCACATTCGAATGTGGTCGCCGTTGCTACCCATATGCACAGCTACATTTTTAGGTAAGCAGCCTAGTTGTAGGAAAATGGCATTAGCAAGTGCATCCGATCTGCTCATTACCCTACGAGCGAATCAGGCGGGCAACCGTCTATACTCTCAGCTTTTTTTTTGCTCAAGGCGGTGGATTCTGAGCTAGGCGTTGCCACCCCGGAAAAATGTTGTGAGCTGTAAAGTGTTTAGGGCACCAGCACCGAAATATCGATAGACCTCCTCATGCAACAAAATAATAAATAGTTGTTGAAGTTGCCCTGGATCTAAGTGCACGCAGCACTGGAAACTACACTGAATAATGTCTGGAAACGGTTGAACGAAATTTTATAATTGATTCAAAACTTTGTTACGGGCAGCAATGCTATGCCTCTACTCAACAGCCACACTAATAAGTCTTGTTGAGATAAAAAACGAATTAAAATAGCTGCACAGAAAGCAATACAATCGCAATTGCAATGCTGTTGATAGAATTAAAAGCAGACGCGCATGAATGTGCGTGTGTATATGTATACAGAAATTCATGGAATTTGCGCTTGCTGACGATGATACGAGGGAAGTCAAAGCACGTTTTTTTTAATAACGATTTTGTTTCTTAACCGATCTTGATGCAATTTTCTACAGTACATCTTATTGTGCCAATGAATATTTGTGTATTCTCAAAACATCAATTGCATTAAAATTGTGGCTTACATTTTGGGAAATATAAGTTGGATTATTAACTTTATTTATAGTTATTTGGTGGTAGCGGGGAGGTGGCGATCGGTATATAACGAAAGATACTTGATATATATATATACTATTCTAGAACCTACATGTCAAGTTTGGTGATTCTAGCTATTATTATTTACCCAATTTGCTCAAAAAACAGGATTTTAACATCGATTTTTATCGATTACTTGGAAACGCAACAAGTTATAGAATATCGGAAACAAACTCAATCTGCGCGGGCACTAGGAGGACCTACAGCTAAACTTTCAAGTCTCTAGCTCTTAGAGGTTCAAATATCCTTGCGTTCATACATACGGACGGATGGTCGGACGGACAGATGGAAAATATATACTTTATGGAGTCGGAGATGTGTCCTTCTGCCTGTTACATACATTTACATTTTGCACAAAAACAATATACTGTTTTTACCCATTTTGAATGGGTCCGGGGTATAAAAATAGCAGTCCAATAATTAATATTAAATGAACGTAATGTTATATTAATTAAATTATTATTATCATAATTATTCTTATTATTTATTATTAATTATTGGAGAGCGGTATTATTTACAAGTAGAGGCCACGCAAAGACGACGACAAAAGGCAATAATTTATTAAACATAATTTTCATTTATGATAAACATAAATTAATTTGTTCGTCCTAGGTGTTAGTGTCGTCAAGCCGTTTTCGCGTCTGCCCTACAAAGAAAAATTAGTATGAAAATTGTAAAATATGTTAGGTGTTAATTTATTAAATGTCTTTGTATGAGTAATAGTGAAATGTTGGAGTAAGGAGTTATGGTGGGTGAGATAAGGGTGTTTGGCAAGTGCATTTATGGCCAACTCATGGTGGGGAGGGCTCCGTTAGGGTGGACCTTAACAGCTGACCACCGTATGGATGTTTTCAGGTTGTCCGAAAGAGTACTCGAAAAGTAACCGAATTTCTTTAGTCCAAGCTTAAATATAAATTATTTTTCACTCCTGGTTAATTTCTGTCTAGCCGGAAAGCCGATAAAAGGAATGTGAACGACAAATCGGATCATAAAAACTTATTTGAAAAAATCTATATAAAACATAAAAGACGTCAGGTTAATTTGAGTTAGCTTATTTTCTATGGGAATGGGAGAAAATTGATTATTTAATATTTAAATCAAAAACCTGGTCTTGTTAAATCCAAATGATAGAATATACATTTAATAGATTCCATTAACAATGTAAGACATTAGTATTATTAACATATCAATTTGTATATAGTGACACTACACTACACTACAATTTTGAACCACTGTTATTCATAATGCAAAGTATAACAACATGTATATGTCCTTTGTTTAGTGGTATAACCCACTGTTTACAATTGAATAATCATAATAATAACATGCCTTCTGAAAACGAATTCAACTAATGCTAACAGCAGCAAAAATCATTAGAGCAGAATGCCTTCTGCAGCCTAGCTCAAATAATGTCAACAATTATTTATAAACAAAAACTGACCATTAGAAAGATGCCAGAGTAAAGCTGCAGCTGCTGTCCCTTTGAAAGAATTCACGTACTCCAATTATTGTTTCGCTTTAAATATAGCGTAAGGCCATTTTTTGTTCCTCAATGTTAATCCAGATATTCAACATATTAAACTAAAAAAATGCACGCTCTTGAAATAGTCTTTTTATTTTGAAACGTTTAGCTACGTTATAAACTATATTATTATTTTTGAAAATAAATCTACACTTAATGGCTTACATTAATTACAAAAAATTCAAGTTAAATTTGCAACTACATTTGTATTTGATTATTGAAAACAAAATATTGCAAATGCAATATGCAATGCAGTATTTTTTGTATTTTAGTTTCATAAATTTTAAATATACAATAGCCTGCGCCAAATTCGATTTTTATAATGATTCGTTATCGATAGTTGGCAGCTCTATTCGCTCATCTCGAAGCGTTGACGATAGTTTAAAACTATCGGAAATTCATCGTTAAGTAGTATCGTTGCTGCACTACAATTGCCAATCGTGCTGCTAATGGGTTATCGGCAACTTTTAATTAATAAAATACACTGTTACGTTGAGTTTCGCCGCCGAAAATGGAATCTTGAGAAAAAACTAAGTAGAATAGACACCACACCCGACTTATTTCGAGTTGACTTTTCTAGAGCAATAAAAACGGGGTAATGCCCCAAAACGAATAATTACCCCCTTCATGTGAGTGCCGTGGCCTGCTGGCAAAACAAAATGGGGTTTCATGCGCACTGTGGTGTTTTGCAAGTGTGTGGTCCCTAGACATAATGAGAATGAATTGAGAGCACTCCGAGTGAGGTAAAGTAGTTTCGTGTAGTGGGATGGATTTTTTAATCTCTTGCCCTCTGAGCAAGTCTCGGACCCGAATAAAAACGAAGTCGACTTTTGACCAGAAGTCTAAAAAATGAATGGCTTCAAGCTTCTCTTTTAGCTGTGCCATCTATATGTTGTATGGTTAGCGCTGTTACCTATGTAGTTGAATCGGCAGCAGTCTGACCAAGCCAACTTACAAATTGCCGGTAAATGAGTGTATGATTATTAGCACTCGATACTTTTCCAGTCAAATAATTTTGACTAGAACAATTTTAATTAGTAATATACATATGTATAACTTTTAAGTATTATTACTAACTGGATAGCTACTAAAAGAAGTGCAAAGGTAACAAAAAAAAACCAATACATATGTATGTACATGCATATATAGTATATTGTGCGTATGTCAGACTCTCAGAACAATATGCTAGTTTTCATTCATTAGAAAGCAAATATAAAATTTTCTAGGCTACTAGTTTTGAATTTATAGATGCTTGGTAATGAGAAAATGCTCAGCGCTTGTCGTAACTCCTTGTGCCTTCCCCTTTTATACCTCATCGTCGCTGGTCTGCGAGCACAGCACCTGCTCTTGCCACCAGTCATGCACCTCATATACAGCGTTTGCCTGATTGTTGAATGGTAGCAGTTTTCCGCTGCCTCCAATTAACTGACTTATAATGGCCGAGGGACTACTCAGCGGTCCGTGAAGATGCTGATGATGATCCGCAAAGGAATGCAGTGCAGCAACAGCAACAGCAGTCGCGTTAATGGTCGGATAGTAAAACTGTCCAATCTCGCTGTTTAGCTGCGAAAAAAAACTGGATGACTTGTTTGTCTCACGCTGTTTTCCCAGCTGGACAACATGCGGTAGTGTGGTCATCGAATTTTTTTTACGCTGTTGGCTGCTAATGTGTAGTCGCTCCTTGTCACTCAGTGTTGAGCGCTGCTGTGGATCGCTCGACGTGGGTGCTAAAAATTTTCTTCCTGCCGAACTACCAGTCGAGTCGCTGCGATTAAGTGCATATGCACGCTTGCCAACTGTCATGACATGACGAACACTAGAAACGTGTGAATCAGTGTGGGGCAGCACAACTGCGCTACTACTGACATCCTTTTCATCATTTTCCGTCGAGCTTAAAGTTGGTGAGAAGGCATCACTTGTGGGCGGGCAAGTACCGGCAACTGCACCGCTTATTGTGCTTATGGCTGATTTTTCTAATATTCCACCGGACGTTTTGTCTTCCTGCACATTGGCACGCATCACCAACTGCTCATTAGTGGCACGTAATCCTGCAATCAGTGAGTTTTGTTGTTTCTGTAAGGGTAAGCAAAAAAGATATAACCATTTGACAAGACATATAAAGCATGAATTAAAGCCTACGCTAGCATTTTGTGCCCGTATCTTCTTTAGACAACCTTCAAGCCAGGTACGTATTGTCATCTTGGCTACTTCCTCTTCCACCAGGTATTCGAACTCCTCACGCGCCAGCAGTTCCTCCAGCTGCAGCGCTTTACGTATGTCTACAGAGCGATACGATAGCATGCTAATACATGTTTTTAAAATATTAATCGATTTTATGAAGAGCTTAATCAGTTTGACTTACTTAATTACATCGTGAAAGGTTACATCTTCGCCGTTGTGCAGCTTGTCTAGTTCATAGCACATGTACTTAAATAGCAACCGGTCTTTTTGAGGATCACACTCCAACCGGCCTTTCAAAAGCCGCAAAATAAATTTTACCCTTCGAACAGGTATAACTCCGCGTTGATGTATGTCCACAATATTCCAAGTGTTCTGAAAATTGCGTATGTCTGCATA